TTCCTACTTGAGTAAATAGCACCATCATCCCTTGAGTGACTCAAATAAAAATCCTGAGTCATTGTTGATTCCCTTCCCTCATCTCAATATCAAACTCATGAACACGTAAAGAATTCTCTCTAGTGGCATTGCCATCCTCGCCCAGTGTGATCATCTCAACTGGATTCAGTAATGATTTCCCTCTTCCTATCCATTTTCAGAGGAGTCAGAGAAGTCTTAAAGAGAACCCAGCTCCTAAAAAAAAAAAAAAAAAAAGAGAGAGCCCAGCTCCTATCCCTTTCCATACTTATGATTTTCTTTGCATTTACATTGCATTTTGAACCACATCTAATTTGCCTACAAAGTTCTAAAATATCAATTCCTGAATAATGATTCTAACCTTACCTCACATTACTCTCCACCCCTGCTTTCTCCCTTGTGAGAGCACTCTGGTCTTCTTTTTGTTTCTCAAACTTACACACTCAGCAGTGTGCTTTCTATTCCTAGTGCTTTACCAGTGCTGCCTCTCTTTCATTATTTAGATCTGAGTTCAAATGTAACTTCTTCGGATGAGGCCTTTCCTGAACATGCTTTCCATCTGCTAATCTACCCATTTCTTTTCACATCTGTTTTATTTCCTTCTTTATTGCACATGACTGTTTAAAATTCAATCAATATATATTTATTATATACCTTAATATATTCCAGGTATTGTTCTAGGCATTTTATTCATTAGTGAACAAAAAAGACGAGAGAAATCCTATCCTTCTAGAATGCACATTAGTAGGTTAAAGAGAAAACAGCATATAATAAACATAGTTATAATGGAAGGTGGCGAGTGTAATAGACGAAAATAGAGTATGGTAAAGTAGATTGGGAGATCTGAGTGGGCTTAGGGGAGAGAATGCATATTAAATAGTGTGATTATGGTAAGCCTAATCGAGTTGATTATTAAAGGAAAGTTCTTTTGTTTCTTTTACTTTTAGCTTCAGCACCTGTCAGCAAAGTGAATAAGTGCTGTGCTTCTTCCAACTTTCATCCCACTTTGGGAAAAAAGAATATCATCATGTCAAGCATTACAATTGACCCAGATGTCAAGCCTGGTGAATATGTCATCAAGAGCCTCTTTGCAGAATTTGCTGTTCAAGCTGAAAAGAAAATTGAAGTTGTAATGGCTGAACCCTTGGTAAGTAGAGCTGCCCTAGAAATTTTCTGGACTTTTGTATTAATCATTATAATAAAAATTTTCCAAGGAAATAATATACTTGAAAAATATTAAAGGAAGTTAATCCGAATAATTTCAACCGTAGGACATTCTAGAAAAGTGAAAGCTGTGGAGACAATAAAAAGATCATTGTTTGCTTGGTGTTGGGTGGGAGTGGGAATAGAAATAGGCAGAGAACAGAGTAATTTTAGGGCCGTGAAAAATGTTCTGTGTGATACTATAATGATCTGTACATGTACATTGTTCAAACCTATGGAAAGTACAATACTTAGAGTCAATCATAATATATGGATTTCAATGATTGGGATGCGTCAGCATAGGTTCATCAGTTATAACAAATGTACCACTCTGGTAGGAAATGTTGAGACTATGCCTTATGCACATGTGGGACAAAGGCATAAGGGAAATCTATACCTCCCACTCAATTTTGCTGTAAACCTAAAACAGCTCTTAAAGATTGTCTTAAAAAGGGGCCTCCCTGGTGGCACAGCGGGTTGAGCGCAGTGCTGTGAAGCTGTCCGCAGCCTCTGTAGTGTGGGTTCGATTCCCAGCCAGCCAGGGAGATACCCACATGGTGCGGCAGACCTCTCCTTTCTCGCCCGCTGCTCCCCTCAGCAGTGCTTTCAGTCTGTCTGCCTGTTCTGTTCCCCGCTGTGTTTCTGGTGAATCTTCTCACCCTCCCATGCCTCTGAGCTGTACCCTAGTTCTGGAATAAAAATAAATAAATCTTAAAAAAATTGTCTTTAAAAAATAGGGGATAGCTTAGTAATAAAATGGTGATTTAGACAGCTGTAATGACTTTAGTTTTGATAAGTTACTGAAAGTTACAAAGGAAAAATAGATGCACCAGTGGGAGTTGTTAAAACAGATAACATGTATGAGGAAAATAAAGGAAAATCTACAATATTTTATATCTTGATGATAGAGCAGTAGCCAAATAAGTAAGCATTTTAAAACTCATGGTATTTAGGCATACTTAAGGAATATGAGGACTCCACATAATTTGAGTTTATGGTAAGGAGGAAGGAAGAGGAAAAAATGAAAAATATTTGTCAGATTCTGAGGAGTTGTGAAAGCTATTATGGTAGATTATACAATAGTGGGTCAATAAGAGGGAGAAGAAATTAAAGGCAGAGACTTGAAGCTATTGTGTATAATTCAGGCTATAATGAAGTCTTAAGCTTGGACATTAAGAGTAGAAGAAGGTACAGAAGATAGTTAGATGACAAGTAGAATAAGTAGAACTTAAATAATTAAATGGGATTAGGTGTTTTGAGTGAAAGCAGAGCATTAAAGATTCTCTGACATGTTAGAAAATATGCTCATGTATTTTCTTAGGTAAAGAGCACAGTAATATTAGTGTACAAAAGGTGAAAAAGAATTTTTCCTTTATATATGTTAAACATGAAATATGGGAGATTTAAACCATGTTAGAATAATCTGATTGGTGGCTCGATATTCTTTTTATAAAGCCATGTAAAGTAGAGATCAGAAATGCAGGTGTTGGCATCATCTGCATGAGCGTGGTAAGACCCTAAGAGATAATATCAAGATGATATGTTATCTTGATATATCAAGATGATGATATCAAGGGAAGGAGAGTATCGAGTATTATTATTACTATCAAATAATACCAAGAGGTGGAGTACAGTGACCAGTGAGGGAAGGGGTTGTTGGATTTGGAAATTTCGCAGCCTGTGACCATTTTAGTGGGAATATAGAACTCTAGGTGGTAACTTTTTTGTTTTGAAGGGAGCAAATATGCGATGTACCACAATCAGTATAGAGAGTGGCATGGTCACAATAAAGATGGAGAGGAGGCTATGACAGCTAAAACTTACTTCTTCTTTACACACTGAGTTAGGGATCGGTATTTACCTCCAGTTTGGACTCAGAGTTTGTTACTTGTCTGAAGTCCAAACCTAGGAAGTGACAAAATGAGGAGGCAGCCACAACAATGACTTTAGGTGTTTTTTTTCTTTTTTAAAGATTTATTTATTTATTTATACAAGCACTGGGTACAGTCAGAATTGCGGGAGGGTGAGAGAATTCACCAGAGCCAGAGCGGAGAGCAGAACAGGCAGACTGACGAAGTACACTGCTGAGGGGAGCAATGGGCGGCAAGAGAGGTCTGCGCGCCAAGTGGGACCCTGGCCGGCTGCCAGGGACCGAACCGGCGCTGCGGAGGCTGCGGGCAGCTTTGCAGCCCAGCGCTCAACCGCTGCGCCACCAGGGAGGCCCCAACAATGACTTTAGAACCTGTATGTTTATGCAATCTGCTATACTTCCTCAGGATAGGAGGAAGGGAGCAGAAGGGAGATGAAGTGATGACTTAATAAAGGAGGGAAGTAAAGGAGGTACTGTTACAGGTTCTTGATTTCCTTCATGAAGTAGTCCTCAATATTACTGATTGTGAAGGCAAAGGAGTGCGTGTGTGCGTGCCCTTGAATGAGTTTCTTTCTGATAAATTGGAAGAAACTACTCTGAAGAAAGCATCGGTGAAATAATGTATTTGAGGCTTAATGCATACTAATAGATAAAATAGATAAATGATAAAAGAATATTAGCCAAATGTGTATTTCAGAACTGTGCAATTCACTGTATGCCATTTAAATCATTCCATGATTGCTTTTGCATCACAAATTAATGATTGTTTTCATACCAGTGTCACAAATTAATTTTCATACCGGTGCATATGTATTTTACATCATGTATATAATATAAAATTCTGTCTCAGAAATAAGGATTACAAAGGTTTGTGGAGATAAATTAATGATGATTAGATCTGATCATAAATGGCCTTAATCTAGAAAATGTTAATTTTCTTCATCGATGGTCTATGAACTACTTGGTAGATTACTACACCAGCCTACTTGAACAGCATACTATGAGAAAGGGAGCCAATTAAAAATATATACATAAAATAACTTAATGGGACATGGTGACTATAGATAATAATACTGTATTATAGAATTAAAATTTTCTGAGCGTAGAAAGGAAGTGTTCTTACCAAAAAGAATTTAAATATCAGAGGTGGTGGATGGTTTTGGGAATCTTTTCACAATGTATGTGTATAATCATCACATTTATTCTTTAAATTTGTTATAATTTTATCAATTCTATCCCAGTAAAGCTGAAAAAAAAGTTTTGTGAAATTTCAAACTTATATTAACAGAAATTAGACTATAATGAACTTCAGGAACCCTTACCCTGCTTCAGTAAGCTCCAGCTTGTATAGTACATTTGCAAAGCACTGTACCTATTTGATAAGACATTTTATAAGCAGTATCATGTGGTATGGTTCTGTCAGCTCTCTGGTATTATATATCTTAAAGAAATTTTCATGTTGAACTTGGGAGATCTTCAGAGTGTAAGTATTAAAAACTATGGAAGAAATTACCTAATTTTACTGAGTCTGTAAAATGGTGATTTTATATCTTTCCCTTTTTTCTTCCAATGCCATTTCCTAGTTCAGAGTCAGGTTCTATGGTATTAGACCATTGCAGTAGCCTTTCCTAGTTCAGAGTCAGGTTCTATGGTATTGGACCATTGCAGTAGCCTTTCTATTCTCCTCTCTCTTACCAGCCTTTGTCTTCACTTGAAAAACAGGTATTATCACCTTTCTGCTTTAAGTCTTGCTTTATGGTATCATTCTAGACTTTTCACATTCTTGTTACCCTTTGTACAATATCTTAAAATTCTACCCTCATGTATGCTGTGGTAGCTCAAAGTATCCTCTATAAATTCTGTTGTCCTGGTGTAGTTCCTTATTTTTCTCACAAGCTAAAATGCTTTTAGCAGTCAAGTCAAATTCAGCTCCATTCCTATCGTCATGGGGACTGGCCAAGAGGACTGCCACAGCAAGCCACACAGCTCATGGGCCCTGGGTCCCCCTGCTCTGGGACTCAGGCATAAGTTTGGTTGTGGACATTGAAAAACAACAAGCTTTGAACTTCTCTGCTTTTCAAACCTCTGCTCATTCTTCCAAACTTCCCTTGTGTTCCCTCTCTCATCATGATCCTACTCCAAAGCTAATGAAATCTGTTTTACTGTAATACTTATTCATACTCCTAGATTCTGACATTTTATGGTCAATGGCTTACGTATTTCCTCATCTGATGTGAGCTACTTGATTCCAGGAACCAGATCTCTTGCTTTTGTATCTCCTGCTCTTCCGGTGAGGGTCGGTACTATGTACATACTACTACAGGTTTCTGTTGTTAGTTGAATTTAGCCTTGAGAACATTGTTATGGTGCATGCCCTTTGTTTTAACAATATACAATGTCATTGTTCTAGCCAGAGCTTCTAATGTTCTTTCAGAATAGTCTGATGCTAAAAATGAATATTTTACTCATTCATTGAATGGCTAATTTCAGAGATTTTGCTATGCAATCTAAAATGAGGTAGAGTGGTGGTGAACAGTGGTGAGGATTCCATCAGAAAACAGATGATTCTACTCCATCATCCCATTTAGAGGATATACCTGACATGCCAGTAAACCCAGTTTTGTGACCTGCAGTATTCAAGGACAAACACTGACAGGAAAACCCCATTTTATTTTATAGAGTGTAGTTCCTAGTCTCCTATATACCAGCATATAATTTCTTCTTATGTGAAACAAATCTGTGTCAGCTTTGTTATCATTTCTGTCCAAGCCTGGGTAGAGTGTATCAATCCAACCACCATCAGGATTAGTAATGAAAATCTGTTTAATCTGATATTGTCAGTATTTACACTATAGCTTCGAATGCATTTATTGTGGTTGCATTTAATTAGAAATTTGCCCTGTACCCTTTTAAATAATAAGCAACCTTCCAAGACAACTCTGCAGGTCTTGAGTGAAACTTTTGCAGGGTCACTTTAAACAAAATTGCATCAGTGACTTGCTAGGTCAAAAAGGCTAGCATGTCTCGTGGTCAGTTGGACTGTGGATTACAAAACATCTAAGAAGCACAAATGCGTGTAGGTTTTGCTAAAAGAATTTAACCTGCCACTTAAGTGAGAGAATTAGCCTTTTGTTCTTACCTTAGAAGCCATAATAAAAGGAGGTTAAGGAGGCCAAAGATTTAGAGATTAGGTGAGCTTCATTTTTAGCCACCGTTTTATTTTCATTTGCGAAGGAAGGTTCAGGAAGGAAGAGAATCATTGATTGAAATTGCAGCTTGCAATCTAAGCAACTGAAAACCCTGGTTTTGTTTCTTCATAAAAAGAGGTGGATCAATCCTGGGTAATGACACAGGCACATCCAGGCTTATCTGTTAATCTTTTTGATCTCCAATGATTTGTTTGTTTATTTATTTTTACAACTCTGCAATTGCTTCTCTTTTGTGAGAATATGAAACATTTGTGTATTTTTCCAGAACTTCCTTCTCCCTATGTGATCTTAGTTCCTCCAAAAGTTTTACCTTCTCCCATGTTTGTTGTGACATGTTATGCTTTACGTTTGAGGCGCTGATCAGCTGATTGGAAGCCTAGTGTACACGGAGGGTCCTTTTTGACTGTGGCCTTCATTGTGTTATCAAAATCCTCAATGTTAAGATCTTTTGGAGGATTTGTTAGTGTCCCCAGGAAAGGTTCTCCAGTAACCTATATGGGAGTTTTAAGCTTGGCTGTTTGTATTTAAAGGAACTAGGAGCCAAAGATAAACTAGTGTTCTTGATGTTTGGTATAAAATTTTTTACTGAAGCTCCCTAACTACAGTATAATTCCTCTTGTTTTCAAAAGGACAATTCCTTTGTGGGTAAGGTGGCAGGACAGTTTTCCTGCTAAAGGCGGGACAGTTCACCTGCTAAAGTAATGGGTAAAGGAAATAAGAGGAAGAGTCTAAATCTTTCTTAACTGGTCATTCATTTTTAAATTCACCTTCACCCACACATTCTGTGTCCCTGTATTCCCCAATTCCTGAGAATTTGGGAAGTTTCAAAGTATTGACTGGATCGTCCTCTGTCCGCTCTGCATGCAAGCTCACTTCCCTCCGACAGTGACTCAGCTGTCATCTTCCCTGTGCTAGTTCTGTCTAAAATCTCCAACCCTATTCGAGCTTCCTTTCTTAAAGTCTGTCAAGGATTCTTATTTCCTTTGCTCCATCTTTGGATTTCTAAATTCAGACTATTGTCTGATCTCAAATTATTAATCACATGTCAAAGTATTTCAGTATCATTGTTAATGCTATGAAAATCTTACTAATAAACTCTTTTACTTCCCCTGGAAACTACATGTTGCTGTTGGGACTGTATGCTAAAGAATTGAGTTAGGATATAAAGGATTGTGAGCCTTAGAATCATAATTATTCTCTATATTATGAATTGACATTATAAAAAGGAGAAATAGTTCTTAATTTTATATAACATAATGATGGCTCTTCTACCATTGTGGATCAAGATAATCAATGTTCAGTTTTTGGCCTGCCATTTTTCCTGTCTGTGGTTTATCATTGTAGCTACCTTTGGAAAAAAAAACAAATGGGGAGTGTGTGTGTGTGTGTGTGTGTGTGTGTGTTTTGCATATGATTATATCTGTAAGGTAAATACTTAGGAATGGAATTTTTGCTGAGTGAAAGGATGTATACAATTAAAAATTTTGACAAATATTGCAAATAGTGTTCCAAAGAGGTTGTTATCTATTAAGTACCCCATTGGCATAATTTCAGAATTCTCTTTAGTTGATAACCCCACCCACACATTATGTGCTCAGACTTTTTGAACTTTGCAAGTCCTATAGAAAGTTAGTATTTCTTTGTGTTTTTAACTTGCATTTTTCTCTTGTGAGTGAGGTTAAGGATATAAACAGATATTTAAGAGCTATAAAAACTTTTGTGAACTGTTGATTCTTACTATATATATATATTTTTTGTATTGGGTTATTGAATTCCCCCCTGCCCTCATCTGTAGGAACATATATATGGTTGAATTTACTTTTTTTGGCTTTTGCATTTTGTATCACATTTAGAAAGATCTGAGTTCTTTTTAAAAAACACTACCAAATTTTCTTCTAGGACTTCTGTTTTGTTCTAGGATTTTGATGATTTCGTTTTTTTATATTTAAAATATCAAGGGTTTATTGAGTTAGTAGTCCCACTTAGTTGTTTATGTAGACAACATAATTGTCCCAATACCTTATATTAAAATTTCTAAATTTGTCTCAATATTTGAATTTCTGCCCCTTACTATTTTCCATGGTACATTAGTGTCTATTTCTGTTTTAGATAGTGATCCATATTTGTTATTCCTGATTGTTTCTTTACATGAAAATTATAATATACTTATTAAAAAACCTGGCTCTTGTTTTTAGAAGATCATGTTCAATTTGTAGAATTTAGGGGCCATTGCTATCTTCATGTGATTGAGTACATACACTTTTAACTATTAAAGTTTCTCAAAATATATCTTGATACCTAAACTTACTATTTCCATTATGGTTCTCCTTTTAGAGATTAGCAGAAGCCACTGATGGGCTTGAATCCATTTGTGTGACCCTAGGCAATCTAATTAAAATGAAAACAAAAATAAAAACAAATCACAATTCTAAATTGTTCATCACGTATAAGATTTCTAATATATTGTGTGTGTGTGTATATATATATATATATTTTTTTTTTTTTCCCCTTTAATTTCAGGAGAAGCCATTGTCTAGATCTCTTCAAAGGGGCGAAGACCTTCAGTTTGACCAGGTATGCCAATTTGGGGGAAATATTTTTTCTTGAGAGAAGAATGTTCATCCCTAATAGTCTGGTCCAAATAGATCCAATATCAAAAACTTCCTTTATTTTGTTTAGGGACTGAGTTTGGAATTACTAGTTTGTTTTTTAACAAAGCAAGTAGAATGAGCTCTGAACTGTGAACCTTTGTAGTTCATGAAATGAGCTCTGAAAATTATTGATTTCTCTTTAGCATTTTAAAACTTTCTTTTTCATTGTTAATCTCTTTACTGTGCCCTTTGAAATTTTCTTGGAATATTTCCAGTTATGTCCTTTAATATTACCTTGTGTACTTAATCCTACCATATTTATATAATAATGTTTTGCCTTTTATAATTTATTTTTTTCCTTTTAGAGCTGTCAAAACCTTTAATATAGAATACAAATAACTGAAAACTATTGTGGTATGCTTTGAATGTTAATTCTTTCCTCTTGCTGAGATTAAGTGTTTGATTAATGTTATTTTTGTCATAGTTACGCATGCCAAGAATTTTTTTATTATATGTTGATTGTTTGCAAAAAACAATAACCCAGGTTAGCTTTATGTTGCCATCTAGTATTCCTGGCTCCTTTTTTCATAATTATGTATCTGGAAGTAGAAGTTAATGTTCACATTAGCCTACTTGACTAGATGAAGATGACTGACTAGATTTTCTTGGTGGAAACTTACCAAAAATACTTTTTCAGATCTCTAGTTCTGCTAAGCAGAATCACCAGGAGTAGTGGTCCACATGCAGCCACAGCTGGTTTTGTTCAACAGCTTCCTGGTGATTCTGGTGTGTGTACCCTTAGTAAACCACCACAGGTGCAAGGCAAAAACATAAAAAGGAAGGCTAGTCCTCTATTACAGTAACAATATAATCTTAATAATGATGCTTTTCAAACCTTAATGTAGCATCATTCTAATTAGTTAGGTATTTATTATTAATAAATTATTTTAAATGTATTCAGATTGCTCACATCTTGCACCCACTCTACTAATGAAGAATAAATCATTGTACGATCAGAAATGAAATCCTGTCAAACAACAATTTAAGAAAATTTTGGGGCCTTCCTGGTGGCACAAGGTGTTAAGCACCACACTATGAAGCAATCCGCAGCCTCTGCAGCACGAGTTCGATCCCCCATCCACCAGGGAGCAACCCAGATGGCAAGGCAGACCTCCCCTGTCTCGCCCTCCGCGCCCCTCAGTGTATTTCAGTCAGTCTGCCTGTTCTGTTCCCTGCTCTGTCTCTG